AAATCCCCAAAATCAATCACCTATGGATTCAGGTACGCTTCCGTATTCAGTTTTTGGTTCTCAATTATTCGATATGAAAGCTCCTGGATTAAAGCGATGTATTTCGCCTAAAGTTAATTCCAACATCCACAACCCTTTAACACACATTCTATTCATTCAATCAAAAAACTCTCTCTCATCCACATCATTTTTCCACTAAATTTCTCTCCATTTAAACACACACTCACATTCCTACACATTCATTTAAATACATACATGGGACCCATTATCCAATCATTCAATATAAATTTTATATTCTATTCTCAATAAAAATAAAATTTAATATTTTAAAATTATAATAATAAATTTTAAATGCATAAAAATGATAGAACACTACAAGATCAAATAACTTAAATTATGATTACACAATAAAAAAAAAGTACAATTACAAAATATATTTTTTTTAGTTGTTGTAAAAATGGTAAATTTGCGGGGTTTGTGAATTTTGGAAGAACGAAATTTCATCTGGATTGCTAAGATTAAAACTTGGGAAATTTTGAAAATTTTGCCTATTATTCAAATACATTTTTTTAACACAAGTGAACAATTGCTAAATTTTTTACATTTTTTAACACAAGTGAACAATTGCTAAATTTTTTTTGGTGCTGGAGAAATGTAAAATGAGGTGTTTGGTGATAAAGAAATATAAAAATAAGGTGCACTTATAGGCAAAAAATGGAGCATACAAAATAAAAATTATTGATACATATTAGAAAGTGTGATATAGATAAAATCTGAATTTATCAATATTTGAAAGCGAGATATAAATAAACAATGAATTAATATAAAAAAATTTAACTAATATAAAATTGGTTTAAAACAACAAAAAAAAAAAAAGTAAAAATAAGGGCTGAACGCGGTTCAACCCATTGAACACAAGCATGAGCCCCATTAAAAGAATCAACAACCACATTGGTGTTAACGTCTAGTTGGCGTTTAAACATGGGCAAATGAACGCCCAATGTGGGTGCCCTTAACCCAAGAGCGATTGGACGAGATGACTTGGGTCTCTTCCAGTTTAACCAGTGGTCTCGTGTTCGAGCCATAAGAATGCAGAAGTGTTAAAAACTCTTGAGGGAGAGCTTTGCCGCCCTTGTGGTCCTACCCGGCTCGATTCCGGATTAGTTGGTTCCCCTATGGATTCAAAAACCGAAAGGTCCCTGTACCAAAAAAAAAAAATATATATACTATTAGTTGTAAGTGAGATTTTATTTATATTAAAATAATATTTAAAATAAAAAAATTAAAATTAATTTGATGTAAAAATAGAATAAATATGGTGTGAAATGATGATTAGTTAAAGCTAAATAGTAAATCAATGATGCGCAAGAATGATTGGTTGATATTACATGATTATATTAATAATATTGAGGGCAATAAAACTGGATTAATATTGAGTTAGATTTTAAATATGTTAATATTAGCATATACAGACACACCCTAAACTATTTTATTTAAATAAATTTGACTTAAATGGTGCATCTCCAATGGTATATTGTACATTTGGTGACTTCCAATTTTCTGTCTCCGCGTGGTGTTCTGCCGTAAAAACTGGTGGCCATGGTGGGAGCTGGGTGACGGTCTACCAGCCATCTCGTGGTGGCGAACGCTGTAAGTAGCCTTGCAGTTGTCGGTGCAGAGACCGGACTTCCAATTTTTCGGTCTTTTCCTGGTGTTGGATGGTGGATCTCTTCGACTGTGGCAGCGCTGTGGTGCTGCTGCTCCTAGTTTATGCGTGGGGAGGGTTGTTGTGCGAGCCTCCCAGTGTTGACTATGCAGTGAACTGTTGGGATGGTTTTTCGGGCCGTTGGTCCAAATGTAGTTAGCCATCTGGAAAATTTCTGGATCCTGTGTGTTAGACATTTAACTGGTCGCTTTGCTTTGGTTGATCCCCTTTGAGTGCTGGTTCGTGTGGAGGTAGTTCGAGATTATTTTTCGGATGTTAAAGAGGGCCTTGGTCTAGTTATTAGACTTTTTCATGCATTTGTCATGTTTTGTGATGTTTTTGTGTTCTTATTCTCCTAACGAGAGCCTTATTTTTTCCTGTAGGAATATTGCATTGTCCACATGCCAGAGTTTTTCTATTTTCTTATACTGTTGTATTTTGGTTGTCCTAGGTTGGTTTTAGGCTACCTCTGGTGTAGTCCTCTCAACTAAATTCAATTAGGTGACTGATCTTATTCGACCGGTTAGCTATTGTCTAATATGAAATTTTTTTGTTGTTTATTTATAAAATCTATCGTTAAAAAAAGTTGTTTATGTAGACGTAAAGTTTTGGCAATCCACATTTCACATATAAAATATATATATATATATTTATTATAAAAATTGAGTTATATATTAATACTAATTAATAATTTCTAAAATTATACATCAGTTATAGGAATATATATAAATTCATTACACACGAATGAAAAAAATTATAATATAATACGGTAAGTAATAAGTTCCATTTTAAATATAAATATATATGTAATATTTAAAAAAGATTTACCAAAGAATTATTTTTTTATGAATTTTCAAAAAGTTTTAATATAAATTTTTTAAAACGCTTTTGTTGATGAATGTTGTAATAGTATGTAAATATTTTTTTTTTTTCGTTGAATGATTTATGATGATGATTGGTGAAAGAAAAAGAAAAGTCGAAAGAGCAGCGTGTCGTCTCTCGCATTACATTTACGAAAATACCCCTTCAATCAATCAGAGTATTCAATCGAGCTTCAAACAACATAGAGACAGCACAAATACATCAATCAATTTATCATCACGTTCTCACCTCATCGTATCCTGACATCTCTGCAAGGCCCCGGCAAAAAATCTGAATCGCGGCGAGGTTTGATCGGAACCTGTCGGAGTTCCTCCCCGATCCGATCCTGTTCCTTTGATAATCACTCCCAATAGCTTACCGGTTTTTGCTGATTCGATCCGTTTAATCTCGAAACATGCCGGCCGCATACGGAGGTCCGATCACCACGTTCGAGGATGCCGAGAAGGAGAGCGAGTACGGCTACGTTCGCAAGGTACTGTGTCGTGCTTGGTTTTCGTTAAATAATTTCCGTTGTTTGATCTCGAATTTGTGTGAAATTATTGCCATCTGCTGCGAGTTTTTGATTTGATTCGATTTGCCTTGTTTGTCTCTGGATATGGAGTAACTGTTTCCTTATGGTCATGTTAACATTTTTGAATTTACTTAATTTATCCTTGGATTCCTCGAATCTGGATCTGATGCTTTATGTAATTTGGAGATTTCACAAACCTTTTTATGTATTCGGTTGATTCAATCAGCATATTCATAGATTGGCCTATATACCAGAATTATAGAGTTAACATCTGTATCGTTTGGCATTGGAAGCTCGGTTTCTGTATTATTTGCTGTGGAGCTCTTGTCTAATTGCATGCATTTTGTGTTGGCAGGTATCTGGGCCAGTGGTTGTTGCCGATGGAATGGCAGGAGCTGCTATGTATGAATTAGTTCGTGTTGGACACGACAATCTGATTGGAGAAATCATTCGGTTAGAAGGAGATTCTGCTACTATTCAGGGTTAGTGTTTTTGGATGTTTTTGGATTACTGAAATCTCTCTTAGCTATCTTCCAAGCAACAAGAGCTATCTGGTCCTGGATTCTAATCGTAACCATCAGAATGGTTACTTCACTTTAGTTTGGGATAGTGAAGGTTGAGGGCCCTTCATGAGATTTTTTATTTTTTTTTTTTAGTTTCTACGAGGTCCTATGTCTTTAACTCTATATGTGGGCTAGTCTTGCTGCTTTTATACCTTTTAAGTATTACCCAATTTGTGATTGCCGGGAGAGTGAACAGATTTGCTCTCTCCTTACAAGTGAAGTGTTGTTTACAAGTCCATTTTCGTGTTTTTGCTGCAGTGTATGAGGAAACGGCTGGGTTGACGGTGAATGACCCTGTTCTCAGGACGCACAAGGTTTTCATGAATCTTTAACTTTAGTTTAGTGAGTATGTTTTCCATTGTTAGTTATTGAAAAGAGCTGTTTCTCATACTCTGGCTGATTTATGCAGCCTTTGTCAGTTGAACTTGGTCCCGGAATTTTGGGAAATATATTTGATGGGATTCAGGTCCGTATATTTGTTGTCAATATTTTTTTGTAACTCAGCAGGTTTTTCAGAGAAGGTTTATTGTCTAGATTTATTTCGCTTGTTTCCTTACGATGTTCACTCGTCTCCTTTTGGGTAATACTTAATACAGAGGCCACTTAAGACAATTGCTATAAAATCTGGTGACGTGTACATTCCTCGTGGTGTGTCTGTCCCTGCACTTGACAAAGATACTCTTTGGGAATTTCAGCCAAAGAAAATAGGTAAAAGTGAAACGTTTCACATTTATCTATTTTGATGCTAGCTTCAGTGTTTAGATCCAAGATGATTGAAATCTATCAATATTCAATACCCTATCACCCTCATTAACTATGATTTTCGATGGCAGGAGAAGGAGATCTTTTGACAGGTGGTGACTTATATGCGGTGAGTTTGACAAAATTAAGCAGCCTGTAGAAATTTGGGATCTCTTGAATAAATGCCAGTGCTTATTGCTTTTGTAGTAAGGCCTTATTTTTGCGCATCACTTTCTGGTGCAGACTGTGTTTGAGAACACTTTAGTGCAACATCATGTTTCTCTTCCCCCTGAAGCTATGGGTAAAATAACCTACATTGCACCACCGGGCCAATACTCCTTGAAGGTTTGTTCTATGATTTATTGACCATTTGTTGTTATTCGCATTTATTTTCGGATAAGGAAGACTTGTTACATACGTTGAATTTCCCTACCTTACCTTTTGCAGGATACTGTCCTTGAGCTTGAGTTTCAAGGCGTCAAAAAACAATTTACCATGCTTCAGGTTAAGCCCTTTTTTGTTCGAATTGTAGAGATCTCATAAATGTGGTTGAACTGCTTTAATTTCTCCATGGCCTGATTAACAAAGTGAATCTGATGCATACTTATTTGCAGACCTGGCCCGTACGTACACCTAGGCCTGTCGCTTCGAAGCTTGCTGCTGACACTCCTCTCTTGACTGGACAGGTGAATATGAATGCAATATTCTCAGACTTGTATGTTTTCAGAGCTCAATTCCCCTGATCTAACTACTTTGTTCTCTTCAGCGTGTACTTGATGCTTTATTTCCCTCCGTGCTTGGTGGTACTTGTGCCATTCCTGGTGCATTTGGTTGTGGGAAAACCGTTATCAGCCAGGCACTCTCCAAGGTGAACTTCACTGATTTGATTTATATTGGACTATATCTTTTGTAAGGAATTTTGTTGCCTAGTAATTTGTATCTGTTGTGACAACTTCTTTCATCTATATGCATCTGCTATGGAAATGCAGTATTCAAACTCAGACACTGTGGTTTATGTTGGTTGTGGAGAAAGAGGAAATGAAATGGCTGAGGTATAGTTATCCTTCGGTGTGTTCAATCAGCTTTGATGCGTATTTAAGATGTCTGATGTATGATATATGCTACAGGTGCTTATGGATTTCCCTCAATTGACAATGACCCTGCCTGATGGTCGTGAGGAATCTGTCATGAAACGTACCACACTTGTAGCTAACACCTCCAATATGCCAGTGGCTGCTCGTGAGGCTTCAATTTACACTGGTCAGGAGCTACTTTTTTTTTTTTTTGTTGGCAAATATTTACACTCCAGTGGCGATGGCATTATGTTGAAGCCATTGTTAGATTCCTTTTCTCTTAGTGAGAGAATAAATTCAGTATTTCAGTTCTTCAGTAATATGTTGCAAAAGAAACTAGTTAGTTCATCAACTAATAAGTTAACTCATATCTGTAAGGTGGTACCAAGTGGTTGCTTCATGATTTATGTAGTAACTAGAAATTCATCATCTCAACTTGTTCAGGAATTACCATAGCTGAATACTTCAGAGATATGGGATACAATGTCAGTATGATGGCAGATTCAACCTCCCGTTGGGCAGAGGCATTGCGTGAAATTTCTGGTCGACTGGTATGTATCAGGACCACTTCATGACACGAATTGGCTTCTTATCGCCTTGCCCCTAGTATAGTGGGCAAATTGTTTTTTTATATCTTATGCTTTGGACCATTAGTATTTTATTATATATGGGACAATCTGCACAAGTTCTGAAACTGTGAGCCTGTGTCCTTAAAAAAAAGTAATTTTTTTTTTTTTTATCTATATATTTTACCTGTAATGAAACGAAAACTCTATTTCATATGTTTTAGTTGCTGTAATTAATAATTGTTGAGTAAGCAAACAGTATTGTCTTTTGTCAAATGTGAATAAACGGAAGTATTGTTTATTATTATTATTATTTAAAAAGATAGAAAACTACAAGTTTCTACTTATTTACTGGATAATTTCGCAATTGATTGGATGCTAATTATGGAAGGGAACATGCATTGTGTTCTTTATTATTATAACGAGCATTGTATTTGCTCTACAGGCTGAGATGCCTGCAGACAGTGGATATCCTGCTTATTTGGCGGCACGTTTAGCATCGTTCTATGAGCGCGCTGGGAAAGTTAAATGTCTTGGTGGACCCGAAAGAACTGGAAGTGTCACTATCGTCGGTGCAGTTTCTCCTCCAGGAGGAGATTTTTCTGATCCCGTTACATCTGCAACCCTCAGTATCGTTCAGGTAACGTTCAGACAGCAAAACATCTTGTCAATTTATAACTTATGCACTGCATTTCATTGTGTACTTATAAAATCATTATTCAGGTTTTTTGGGGTCTGGACAAGAAACTGGCTCAGAGGAAGCATTTTCCATCCGTGAACTGGCTCATTTCTTACTCAAATTATTCAGGGGTATGTTACAATCCTCAGCATTTAATCTGAGCCACTTCTTTCTGTTTGATGTGTGGATTTTCTGCTTACGAGTTCCTCTTTGTCACCTACTGATGCTCTCTTCACTGTTACTTTTCCCAGGCACTGGAATCCTTCTACGAGAAGTTTGATCCAGATTTTATTGACATCAGGACAAAAGCTCGTGAAGTTTTGCAAAGAGAAGACGATTTGAATGAAATTGTGCAGGTTAGCTTTGTTTGCTTCTAACATCATTTTCAGTTGTCTAATGGGAGCTAAGAGAACCACCGAGATGGGACTACTGATATTTTCTATCTGCTGATATGCATGGGGAGATATGCTTGTTTATGTAATCATATAATTGCAGTTGTATCTCGTGAGATTTTTTTATTTTAATTTTTACAAAAGATTGATAGCAATATTGATTGATTATACCTTGAATTCGAATTATGTGGACGTTCTTCTCCATATGGAACTGCATTAATTATTTTGCTTTTATCCAGCTTGTCGGTAAAGATGCTCTTGCTGAATCAGATAAGATTACCCTGGAAACTGCCAAGCTCTTGAGGGAGGATTATCTTGCCCAGAATGCATTTACTCCGTAAGTGCTTTATCAAGTCCCAACTAACCCTGAAGTTTAATATTTTTTTTCGTTCAGATGGTTGAGTTTTAAGAATGTCTGCTCCTCATTCACAGTTATGATAAATTTTGCCCGTTCTACAAGTCAATTTGGATGATGCGCAATATCATTCATTTCTACAATTTGGCTAATCAGGTAAAGCAATCTGCACATATCTGTTTTATTTTCTTTTCTTAGAGAAAATAAACAATATGAGGAAAACATTTTTTTTTTTTTTTCACATGAGAAATTCTGTGTCTTGAGTCGATTGTCTACAAATTAGACGTTTGATGTGATTTTCTTGCTCAGGCTGTGGAGCGGGGGGCTGGCATGGATGGACAGAAGATAACGTACACCCTTATCAAGCATCGTCTTGGGGATTTATTTTACCGTTTAGTGTAAGTAAAACTTCTTTAACCATACAAGCTGAATTTTATGCAATTTTCATCGTATTATACATATATTTGATAAAAAATATGCCGTAAATTCCAACACTCTTCGAATAATGCAGTTCTCAGAAGTTTGAGGATCCGGCTGAAGGAGAAGATGTCCTGGTTGCCAAATTTAAGAAGCTTTATGATGATTTGACAGCTGGCTTCCGCAACCTTGAGGATGAAACTCGATGAAGAATTTTACATGCATGTGCTCGTTTTCTAGAGCATCTTTGTATTATTATATTTATACCATCCTCTTATAATTGGCAGCTTCAAGTTATTCCCATTCGCAATGAAGAATGCGATAAGAAGCAGCACGGTTGCTTAGGCTTTCATAGAGATTTATGGTATGTGTCATGTTTAAATCTATTTGTTTATTTACTTAGCTGTTTTTATTGTGCTATTTGTTATGATTTTTGTGAGTAATAAGAATTGGCTGTATCCGTGCATTATTTTACTATGTTCTTGTCGAAATAATAAACTGTACGAGTGTAATTTGAGATGGGTTGTTTTGGTATAGATACTTTGTATTCATTTATCCCAAGTATCTTTTTTGAGGACTAATAATTTAATTTGGCTAGGAAAAAAGGGGAAAAAAAACTAGTTTCAGCAAATACTTATTCGCAGTGTAATACACGGGTATTGTATTAGTATACATTTATTGCAAATAATATCTTGACACATGTATTAAAATAAATACATTTGGAAAATATGTCAATGCATCAATTCATGAATGACTACATAACGAGCCATTTGTTGGGTCTGGTCAAGTTACCTTGGTGTACACTTTGAGAGCTCTCAAATTTCGATACGGTGAAAGTTTTTATCACATAATCCTAGCAAACACTTTGCAACATGAATAGTTTTTATCACATAATCCTAGCAAACACTTTGCAACATGAATGGTGGAGATTCACATGTTCATCAAACTCGATACCCATAACTGAATACAGAAAAAAGTTGATCGCGCGAAGAGAGAAAAATACGAGCCTGTACTAAAAAGACTCGATTCTTGATTCGTTACACTTAGCCAGGGCCAACTTTTGGAATGTCATAACTCATAGTGCTAACTCATATTCGCAAGATACTGATTGAAATCCTGAATAAGGTCACGGCGTGATTTGTTTGACGGTTTTACCAGCTTGAGGGAGTTGATTTTCTCCCTTTGTTCCATGTAGCGCCTCAGTCGATTTGTCATCAGCTTCCGTCAACTCAGATAAATGCTCTGCATTCTCACCTTCATTACACAGAGAGAAAAAAACTATAAGAAAACAAAGGGATAACATCTTTACATAAAACCGAGAAACAACGAGAGATGATTTTATTAGAAGCATGCGTAAGAAAAGGGATTTCACCACAATATCTTCAAACAGAAGTTGCTGACTTAAAAGGTAACTGCAAAATAATAGCAGAGTGCACTTTAACTTAAATTTATGATTCAACATATATTTATGAGAAGTCAGAAAATTGGTACATAATATGCATATATTTGCCAATTGTTATGTATTCAGGTCATAATACAGAATGAAGAATGCTCCGCTACCCACGTGGACATATGTTAATACGTCCACCGCTTATGTGACATGCACACATTGATGAACATATTAATATCACCAATATGTACATGACACATATTAACATGTGCCAACCGTGGGTAGAGGAACATTAGTGAATACAGAAGTACAGTACTTTTTCTCAATTGCTATTTACCGCCCCCCCTATTACTAGTCACCGCCCCCCCTAATTACGAAAATACCCTTTACTTTATTTTTGAATTCTCTCTCTCTAATCTCTCTATCTCTCTAAAACCGTAACTTCAACGACTCATACGCACGTCAAAAAAATCCCGAAAAAATGTCGAAAAAATCATACGGTCTCGGCAAAGCGTTCTTCTCTAGCAAGGTATTTTTTTTTTTTTTT